TGCTTTGTGTGTGTGTGTGAGAGAGAGAGAGAGAGAGAGAGAGAGAGAGAGAGAGAGAGAGAGAGAGAGAGATTGAAATAGAACAGGGATACAGGGATACAGAGACTGAGGTTTGGGCCGAAGAAACAAAGTATACAAAGGCTCCAGGCTGGGCAGCCTGGAAGCAGGGTAGGAGGCCAGCGTGAGTGCAGAGAGTTGAGGCTAGAGCTGCAGCGCATAAACCTGGGTTCCTCCCGGACGCGGGGTCGGAGGAGACGCTGTGGGCCGCGCCTCTCACCGTGCTACCCTGGCCCGCAGGTGGGTCGGCTACGAGTTTCCGGGCTACCGTGGGCGCCAGTTCGCCTTCGAGCGCGGCGAGTACCGGCACTGGAACGAGTGGGCCGCAGGGCAGCCGCAGCTGCAATCCGTGCGCCGCGTCCGCGACCAGAAGTGGCACAAGAGGGGCTGCTTCCTTAGCAGCTGAAGACGCCCAGGCCTCAGGCGCTAGAAGAGGAGGCCTCCGGGCTGGGACAAGGGCTGTTCTTAATAAAGCCTGGGTCAATCCCCACCTGCCACCATCTTCTCTGTCCTTTCCTGGGGCCACGCTGGGGGAGGCACAGGGCTACAGGATAGGCCCACCGCGTCTACTGTGTGCCCGCCAGTGTGTATCCATGGACCATCCCTCCTATCCTTCCATCATCCACCCCCATCCACCCGTCCATCATCCCTCCTCTCACTTGTGCACCCTGTATCCATCCCTCCATCCACCTACCCACTTATCCCTCCACCCACACATCTCTCCATGTATCCCTCCATGTGTGCAACCTCCATTCTTCCTTCTTTCCATCTTTTAATTGTCCTCTCACTATTGGTTTACCCCTCCCTACCTCTGTCCACCCATCTTTCTATCCTCCTACCCACCCACCCATCCATTCATCTGTCAGCTCTTCCTTCAATCCATCTCTGTGCATCCAGATGCCTTGACCCTTCTTCCAACCGTGTTTTCATCCATTATCTCATCCATCCTTCCATCCACCCTTCCCTTCTATCCTCCTATCCATTTACCATTTCCCCCTCAGTCTCTCTCCTGCCATCAATTTATACTACAAAAGCCCATGAACTCAAGGTTGCACTTTTTCCAGGATGAAGAATATGATCAGGTAGTTTCTGAGGGTCATGTGAGGAGGTAGTGAGTGCTAAGGAGAACACACAGGTAGGGCGCAGAGGTGGAAATTGCGGGGTGGGAACCCTGCTCTGGAGAGGTGACCATGGGACCCAACACATGAACAGAAATGAGCATGTTATGGGCAGGCTGAGGAAGCAACGTGCTTGGGGACAGAGACAGACGGCCAGGAGGGCAGCAGCTGGTGCAGAGTGGGGTCAGTAAGAAAAGAGAGGAAGGAGTCAGATGGGAGCAGAGTCAGGCCCATTAGGGCTTTGAAACTAGGAGGGCTCTGACTTTTCTCTTCAGGGCCAGAAAGGGGCTCCAGGAGGCCTGCTGGGAGGCACGGAGAACTGGCTGAGCTGGAGTGGTGCAGCCCCTTCTGTGCCTCTGCAGCTCTGTCCCCATCCCAGGGGTCTTCTGTGACCTGGCTGGGAGCCATCCCCACCTAGGACTGCTGTTCTGAGCCTTTGAGGCCTTGCCAGGGTTGGGGAGATGCATGGGGTCTCCTTGGCAGTACCAGGCATAGAGGGGCCCATCTGCCTCAGAGTGAAAGAAGAGGGGGTGTCCTGCCTGGCTTCCGCAGGCACACTGGGGATCTGCCCACCCTCCCTCCTCCACGGCCCTCCTGCCTCTGTTCCCTGTCACTCAGGCACCTGCAGGCTCCCCCACCCCCACCCCTGCTCAGGCAGCCAGTGTGTGGGAGGCTGGAGGGGAGGACTGAAAAGAGTATGGCAGTTTGTCGTGATTCCAACCTGCAGAAAAAGAATTTACTGCTCAGAAATCACTGTGGCTTTGCTTTGGTGGGGATGGGGAGCTGGGGTGGGCCTCAGACTAGAATGGGTCAGGGCAGGGCTTGGAACTCCAAGTGGGCACAGCAGCCTCCTGTCTCCTTCCTCCCTCTCACGTCTCCCTGTGCCTGGGGGTCTTCAGACCCCATCCCATTGAATCCCCTCAGTCTTCCAGGAGATGGGCCACTCTCAGGCTGGTTAATGGATGAGCAATCTGTCCCGGGGCCACAAGGATAAGCAGAAGTAGGGCTGAGACCGATGCCTGGGCACTGCTCCTGGACACTCAAGCCTGAGTCCACTGGGACACACCCACCAGGACAGCAAGCCCTTAGAAACAGAGTAGAAAGGAAAGCCACAGCAGCAGTGGCAGTTGCCACAGCAACGGCAATACTAGCAGCTGCCACCAGAGCTGCTGCAGAGCTAAGAGCAAAAGCAGGGGCTAATGATGCTGGTGTGCAGAAGGGGAAACAGAGGCCCAGAGGGGAGATGACCCTTGCCTTGGTGCCGCAGCTTTTGCCACATTTGGGGCTGGCTCTGAAGCCCCCTTTTCCATTCTCATGGGCCGTGGAGGGTGTGCTCAGCCCATCTGAGGCTCCTGCCCTTGATGCCAGCCACGGTGATGTTTATTGAGCACCTACGAGGGGTACGTGCTGCTCTCCCAGCACCTAGCAGCACCAAGATGGTTCAAGATAGAGTCCCAGACTGGGCAGGGAGAGGGAAGCCTGTCAGGGAAGCTGACACCATTGTGTGTCAGTGTGCCTACCTTCCTCAGACCACACATGCACCCTCCCTGGGCTTGAGCTGGATTCACTCTAGAGTCGGAGGCCAGATGGACCCCAGATCCACGACAGCTGCAGGTAGTCACTGGTGCCCACACGACTCTGTCTGAGGCCTCAAGGCCACAATAACCACCTGCTCTCAGAAAATTCATCACACTTTGCCCCCTCCCCAAGGAGGCTCAGAGAGGGCAAGCCAAGTACCAAAGTCACACAGCCAGAGAGAGAAAGAGAGAGGTATGATCTGATCCCAGATGTAACTCTAAAAACCTGCTCTTAGCTCCAAGGTAGAACAGGCCCTCTCTCCTCCAGGGCCAGAGCCTGAGAGTGACCAAGAGGCAAGAGTGTGTATCCCTCAGGCAGAGCAGGGTAAAGTTTAGTTACTGGATGAATTGAGAGGCAGTGTGCTCAGTGGTTAGAGACAGCATGGTTGAAGGATTAGGGGCAGTGAGACTGAGCAGAGTCCTCTCAGACATTGCCACTTGCTGTATGCCTCTGGGAAAATTGTAGAACTTCCCTGTCCTGTTTCCTTATCTTTGACCTGGCGGCAATAAAGCCAAACACCTCTCTCATGGTTTGTAAGTACCACCCTCGTGCCTTCACAGAGAGGGCACAGGACCAAGTGGGGTTCTGCATCCTCTTCTTCCTTCACACATGATGAGGAGATGGACAGACCCCAGTTCAGTTCTAGACACAGACCCTGGAGAGAGCCTCCATGGCTGAGAAGCACAGAGGGACTCTCCCTGACTTGGCATCCTAAACACACCAGGGAAACAAGAAAACAAGGAGCCCAGGCCCCATTGTAGATTCAACCCCATGCTTTCTGGAGCATGGATGCTGAACACATACAGGGCTCATGAAGACAGGGCTGAGCCCAGAGCTCTTGGAAGCAGGGCAGCTGGCTCTGATGTCTTCCCTGGGCAATGCAAAATTAATGAGCCTCAGTATGGCCACCCAGCTCTTGGTTCTCTTCAGGGTTTTTGTGTCACCTCTGCTGCCTGTGGTCCTTTCCCCAGCTTGCACCCTGGTTGTTGTCATCTGCCATCTGCACAAGAGCTGTTTCTGGCCACGGGCCTCCTCCCTAAGATCTTGCCTTGGGGAGCAAGCAGAGGGCACTTCCATCTGCTAACATAGCATACCCACGTGTCTGGGGTGTCCTCCTGCACCTACAGAAATTCTGGGCAATCTGCAGCCACTAGGAGCAGCCTCTGCTTGGTGACTACGGGACCAGGTTCCCAGATCCCCAGCTCTCAGCTGGAACCTTCCAAATCCTCTGCTATTTTGGGAAATACTGGCAGAAGCAGCCATGCTGTGTGTAAGGTTTATGTCACCAATGTCCCTGGCCCAGTACACGTGTAGCTGCCATCAAGGTACCTGTCCAGTGGAGTGCAAATGTCACATGGACATTCAGTTCTCCACTAATGACTTTGCCAAACCTACAGATGGTAAACAGGGAGAGCTGTCTACCTGCTCTCTTACACTGCCTGGGCAGGTGTGCTGATGGTGCACATTGTGGTGTAGCATTCTTTCATATTTATAGTTAGGTCAGCTTATTGTTTTTGTTGAAAGCTTCTATTACCTACTTTACCTCAAGAAAGTGATGGGGCTGTCACTAATAACTGTTGCTGATGGGGCAGAACAGACTATTTTAAGACAGGGTCACTTAAGTTCACTTTAAACGTAGATAAATTCACTCCCTCACCCCCTCCCATGTAGTAATAGTAGCCATAAACCCACTTAGAGAAAACCAGGGTCATAAAATAGGAGCAAATAGTTAGGACAACTTGGGAAATAGGGCAAACACTAAACCCCACTACCCCATGACAGGCAGATGTCTGGGAACAGTGTCTGGGAAATGTAAACCTTGTGGCAATTGTGTGATATTCTTGTAAAATTCCTGAAAATGAGGTAATGTGGGTACTATGGAAACCAGAAAAGTGTATAACTTGGAGGTAAAGTCCAAGTGGGGGCTGAAATTTTGGGATTCCTGACCCAAAGTCTGGATGTCAGTCGTGAATACACACTAAAAAGCTTTTTTGTTCCTATAACCTCTCTCTCTCTCTCTCTCTCTCTCTCTCTCTCTCTCTCTCTCTCTCCCTCTCTCCCTCCTTCCCTCTCTTCCTCTCTACCTCTTTCCCTCTCTCCCTCTCCCCTTCCTCCTTTTCCCCTCCCCCCTCCCCTCCTCCCTTTCTCTCTCAAGTACTTTCCTCACTGAGACTGCCAGGGGGCTGGGGAGATGGCTCAGTGGAATAAGCGCTTCCCTTGCAAGTGCAAGGGCCTGAGTTCAATCCCCGGTTCCACAAAAATAAATAAATAAATAAAAGAAAGAAAGCTTCTACTTCTAACTCACTGAGACTGCTGCAACATTGTAAGAAAGGAGCATCACTTCTGGTGGTCATGAAAGCCACCAGCCCCACAGACTCAGAGGCACCTTCTTGTTCTGACTCCTTTGCAGCTAAGGACTAAATTCTGTTTGCCCAGCGGGGTCACCAAGGCCCATTCTCTTCATGGGAGCAGGAAGATGAGGCAAGAATTACCCAGATTTTTTGTCACTGAGACACAGTGCCCGACACCCACAGCCTGAAGCAGGAGAGGTTTAATTTGTCCACAGTTTCTGTCCACAGTCAGCTGGCTCCAGGGCAGGAACATCACGGTGGAAGGGTGTGGCCAAGTGGAGCTGCTCAGTTCACAGTGCCTGAGAAGCTGAGCAGGAGAGCAGTGCCAGAGAGGAAGGCGCAGGGGCCAGATGTTGTTCCCAAGACTGCATCTCT